TTCTACTCTAATAAATTAATGGATGAGGCACTGCTCTTATTAAATTGTAATATTTCATGCCTGCCCTTACTCTGCTTGTATACTAATGGGGAGAGAAGGAGGAAGGAGAGAAGGAGGAAGAAAAGGTTTCTTAAGCTTTTCTCTTCTTTTTGAGTGGAAACTTTGTAATGGTTTTAAGTAAAAAGTGAAAATAACAGTGTCACTGGTTGCTGCAAATGATGATGTAATTTTTTCCCCCTTTAGGATCTAGAGAAATATTAACTGCTGTAGAAAGGGAGTGACCAATTGTCAGTTACACAGTTGTAATAGGTGTGGATGCAAAAACACAATTAAAAACAAGGCCTGAGTGTTTGAAAATGTCAATAGTGCAATTACGATGCTGTGAAACACTGGTTACTGGGTGAGCAGGCACTGAAGGTACAGAGTTGGAGCTGTAATTTGACCTTGTTGCACAGCCTGTGTATTTCACAGCATCAAGGCTACCGCTGAGAAACCACATCTGGCTCTAGGAGCCATTGGGCAGTAAGTGGCTGGAGACTGAGGGAATACTTCAAGGGAACATCATTGTGTATGAGGGTTTTTTTCTGGTTCTTATATTCTTTTCTAGGCATCAGCTTTTGGCCACTGTCTTTACTGATTTCTCGTCTTGAGTCAGGCTGCTGCCCAACCTTAACATAGCCCCACAGCCCTCCTCACGAGAGGGAGGGATGCAGTGAAAGGAAAACGAAAAGTGGTTGTACGATGTGGGGGAGAAGACAAGATAAAGGGAAGGATGGTGAGGATCAAAGGATCAAAAATGAGGATTCTGCTCAGAGATGTGAAGGATCAAGGGATGGAAAGACTTCAGAGTCACCAGGGGACACTGGGTTAGATAGACCTTAGTCTGATGTAGCGCAGCCACTCGTGTTTTGTCTTTATGTAGAAATAAACCAAATAGTTGGCACCTATGCCAGTCTACTGCTACGTGTGTTGAAAGAGCTCTTGGCTTCTCCTCCACTGATGGAAAAGATGGGCAGACAAGTGTGGGAGGAAGGAATAAATTGAGTATTTTGGTCAATTTGGCACCTATATATAATTTTTCATGAGCAGCCATTCAGGCAACTCCTAGAGGCAAGGATATTCTCTTTCTAGTTTATGGGGGTCAGTCCTGCCTTGTGCTTTCTGCTTGGTTGCCCTTTTTCTCACTCAAACAGGTGGGCAGAGAGGCAAGAGGAGCTGACCGAGTGTGGGAGCATGTTAAGTGCCCCCGTGAGGAAGGGGGAGGAAGTTTCTTTTTATTCCTACCTGAGCAATTGAAGAGCATTAGAGAAATGGAAGTTGCTGTTCCTTCCTGGTATTTGTAGGACTGTTCCAATAAGCTCATTGTGATCCAACTCTTAGTGAGACAAAGTGGAATAGAAATACTTTGCATCCACACCATATTCAAAGTCATGTTATTAGAACAACTGTTAGGATTTCTGACTTAAGGACTTTGATTTTGCAGCTTTCTCACCGTCATAGTAGTATGACATACACAATTTCCAACCTTAAAGAAAAGACAGAAAAGGTAACTGATGCATAACTGGGTACCTTTTCTGGCACACCCTGCAGTGGTGGAACACAAGTATCCCCTGAGTGACTGAACATATGGAAAATATATTTCATAGAATCACAGAATGGTGTGGGTGGGAAGGGAACTTAAAGACCATCTAGTCCCACCCCCCCTGCCATGGGCAGGGACACCTTCCACTAGACCAGGTTGCTCAAAGCCTCATCCAGCCTGGCCTTGAACACTCCCAGGGATGGGGCATCGACAGCTTCTCTGGGCAACCTGTTCCAGTGCCTCACCACCCTCTCCGGGGAGAACTTCTTCCTGACATCTAATCTAAACCTCCCCACTTTCAACTGAAGCCCATTATCCCTTGTCCTGTCACTCCAGGCCCTTGTAAAAAGTCCCCCCCAGCTTCCTTGTAGCCCCTTCAGGTACTGGAAGGTGCTATAAGGTCTCCCCGGAGCCTTCTCTTCTCCAGGCTGAACAAGCCCAACTCTCTCAGCCTGTCCCCATAGCAGAGGGGCTCCAGCCCTCTGAGCATCTTCGTGGCCTCCTCTGGACTCACTCCACCCGGTCTATATCCTTCTGATGTTGGGGTTCCGCAGCTGGAACCCACATTTGTTATATGTAGTATATTTATGGAGTAAAAAGGAAACGTTATTCACAGTGGGGAGGTTTTATGTGGTCATTTTGTCCATATATCAAAGCAAGACACCCCCCCTGCCCTGGTTTGATAAATTATTCCAGTTTGTAACTGGTTTGAAAGGTCTGATTGTAGCTGATACAGTGTGATTCAACATAGCTGTGGATTTGTTCAGTGTGAACACAGAAGAGAATTAATTTTTTACCCCCATCCTCCTTCTGTTTCTGCTGTATGAATCAAACAGCTGAGTGAGGTGCCTTCGATCAGAGATGGCATGGAAAAATTTCAAACCCTGACACTTGTGGAAATGCGTGAGTGCTCATGAATATGGGAAAAGATTGAAGGTAGTGTACCAGCAGATGACTTTACATGTATACCATAGATGTCAGTGTTATCTACACAGAAATAAAAAATACAGCGAAAAGCGTTTAAGGTAATGAATCACTGGATTTTTAATAACACAAATAAAACAACACAGGAATTTATTTTTAATAATGATTACAGATATATATTTTTCACCTAAAGCGTTTCAAGTTCTCTTTCTTTTTCCAAGGTTAAGAGCGAAGTAGGTACTCTGCACCAAAGGCCTGGCAAAGAAAAACTTTCCAGTAAATCTTTTAAGAATAGCTATAGAATATTCTTAGAAGATATTTCAGGTGGTTTGAATTATACCCTCGATTACTACCTGGTAGGTATTTTCAAAAGTATTTTCTGCAGTAAATGCAGAACCATCAAATTCTCTCCTGCTTTTTCGGGAGTGAAGTCACGCTGCGCCGAAAAACCGGTACTGTTTTCTGACACTAACATGCCGACGATTCCCGAATGTTTGGCATCCTGAGAGCCCAACTGAAAGGCAAGCAGTCACAATATACTTTAATTAACCTAGAAGTATATTGTTTGAAATAAAAATTGATTTTTGCTATTTTTCTTTTTTCAACTGCAGTGACGTTTTAAACCCCAGTCAAAGATCCATTACAAGTGAAGGTTATAACCAGAAGCGTTTAAGTGAAAATGGATGATTTGACATCCTAGGAACAACAGCCTCCTCCAGACTTTGTGCTTGTGCAGACTGTGTATTTGACAGCACTGAGAGCATGCTTCCTTAAAACGTGGAGATTAGTTATGGAGCTTTTTTTATATTGTCTTGTCACTTTGTCTTGCTCATGTACAGAATTGTGACCACAAAGGGTTTTTCATGTAATTGTTCTGTGTGATGGTGTTTCTAGTTCTTGTTCTAGAAAATCAGCAGGATTTTGGATTTTTTGTAGGGGAGCTTTCAAGTACAGTTTTCACAGAAGTCCTAGAGATTCTTGTATGGACAAGATTAGTGGTTAATGAGGATTTTTCTGAAGATATCAATTTGAATATAACAGGAGTGGGAAGGAAGGAGGATGAAGAAGGAAGTTGGGCTGGCGTAGAAGTGTAAAAAAAATGGTATGTAAAGCATTATGTTTTACTATATGTCTTTGTAGATAGTTGTTGTATTTGGACAAACTAGAGAAGTTTCGGGATATGTGAACAGTTCTTCAGCTTGTATGCCTGAAATGTACCCAAACCAGGTTTGGAATAGTTCAACTTAGGCTACATCTTTGATGATCTGTAAGTCAGTGACATGGGGACTGGATAGAAAAATTCATTGTTTCTAAACAGTGGATTCCTTCTGACAAGCATATTCTGGAGAGGTTAATTTCCCCATTTGATAAAATCATACTGGAATATGTTTCGGTCACCGCTGCCTGGTCTGGAGATGCAGAGCTTCTCTCAGTTCACCATGGGCGAAGGACCCAGTTAACAACACTTAGTGTATGTTACGAGAGAAGGAGTTTCGTGTGGAAGTGATAAGTGGACCTTGCATTTGCATTCCCAGTACTACTAAGGATGGATTTGTTCCTTCTAAAATCCAAAAGAAAACTAGTCTCAGCCTGACTTGTGTTAGCTGTTTTCCTCGGTTGTCGCTTCTAGTGCGGATTGTACTGCGTTTTGTTGGCGTTCTTAGTACATTTTTCTATACAAAATTGATGTTTTGGGGAAGTTGAGAAACTACTTGGTTGTTTTTTGTTTCTTTAACATCCTTTTACTTGGATTTTGGGATCATTTGAGCTGCGAATGGTGGTTGAGTTCATCGATGGACAAAGCTTGAACAGAGTTAGTGCAGCTTCTTTTTTGCCTTTTGTGATGATTTTTCAAGCCCGCTTTTGCAGAGGGACTGGTTTGTGATGCTGCTGTTTAAATAAGCTACAGTTGTTCCACAGAAGCTATTAAAACTGTTTAAAATACAAATGAAAAGATTTGATAAATAGTGGAGATGAGGAAAAAGGAGGTATTTATTCTACTAGAGCGGTGCATCTCAAATGCCTGGAGGTGGTCTGTTCAAAACTAATAGTACTAGTTGCTTTTAGTAAGCCACTGTGCAAAGCACGGGCTCTGTTTGTTTCCTGTCCTTATGACTACAAATGTTTAGTAGGAAACTGTGACTTTAGCATTGTAGGATGTCACTACTGGAAACCTGTTACATGAAACTTAATGTCTACTATTTTTATTAGCCATTTGATATGTATATGTAATTAGAAAATTTAACATTCTGTGCAGATTCAGCTTATTTCCCATAACAGAACTAATTCCCCCCCCCAGCATTAATTTGTTGTTTTGCATGTTTTTTAGCAATTGTAATTAATATAGTAACAACGGCTGTACATTTGGGTTTAAGTAAGTTGAGAAATCATTTAACTTTAAAATCAAGTTGATTCATTTTAAACCCTCTCGCAATGTCGGGTTTTGTTTTTTTTTTTTTGCAAGTTCAGTACAATAGATTAGCATAAACACTAATGAACATTGAAAACCATTTATTCCAGTTAAAATCCATTCTGAATTTGTTATAAGCAAAACATATTTTAAGCCTGCTTGTTAGATGAAAATACTCTGACTGCTGTTCTGCAGAGCAGTTAGATGTCTGCATGTTAGTCATACAAGTACACAGAAATTCAGCGAGACTCTCTGGTTGAAAGACAGCTTCGAGAAAACATATATTACAAATAGCATAAAGCATTCAGTCTGTGTTTACGACGTTGAGCAGATCATTTTTATTAAATTCAGGCATAAAATGTTCATTCAGCTTAAGTAAGCCAGAGATGGATGTCATGATGAGAATTTACATACCATTAGCTCACATCCATTGATTAGCAGCCGAGCTCTGTGGTACGAGACTAGTGAGATACGTTATTTGTGATGCCGGGAGGCTGCAGGTCAAGGAGGTTTAAGGCTGCATGCTCTTTTCCTTTGCCTTTGTGATTACTTGATAAAATGAAGTGCATCACTGTGAACAATTGACCCTTTCGAGCAATCCAGACTGGTCAGCAGTCTAAATCCACATTTTAAAGCCATCATTATAGCCTCAAACTTAAGAGTTTCCAGGGTGCAGACAAAGGTGTTGTCCTCCTTCAGTACCAGCCGTGTACCATTTTCAGACTTTATGAAGTACTTGAATTGAATAATATTTGAAGATACCGAAAACTCCTCCGGAAATCCATCCAGCCTGCTTTTGGACACCAGTACAATTCTGGATTTTATTTTTGCAATGAAATCAGGAGCATTACAGAAGATTCGAAGTCCTTGTGAACGGTCGTGGCTGTCAGTTATTTCCAGGAAAGTAGTCTCTCGACATGCTAGCTGTTCCTTCTCCCACCTTGATTTCACTGCATCCGACAGTACCTTAAGCTGGAAAAAATCTGCTTCTTGTGCCAAAAGTTGATTTTCTCGAAACCCTTCCGGTAGAAGAAGTTCTCCATTTCGTAGGAAGTTGAGAATGTGTCTGAAAAGGAGTCCATCTCTGTCTATGAAGTAATGACCGTCTGTATCAAATGGGCACATTATTTTTCCATTTATGATCCCTTCGAGAAAAGAATCTGGATACTTGGTTAGTGTCTGTTTTTGCGTGATATATAGATAGCCACCAACGTTCAGAGTAATCAGAGACGTTTTATAGTCCTTGTCTTGCTCAGAGCCTTCGGAGTTGCTGTGTTTTTCTTCGCATTCCTTTTCTCTTCTGTTTGTTTTTCTCTCCATCACGGGAGCTGGGACAAAGAGCCAGCTATCTTGCTTTCTTCTTGTCAGCTTGTAAAGAGATTATTTTTCTTTTTAAAAGGCACCTTTATTCAGCTCCGGCACGATGTGGGAATGGAAACGCTGCTAGCATTGCTCTGAGTGTCAGCTCGGGTTTGCAGTAGGTGGCGTATCAGCTGTGTATGCAGGGAGATATCAGGAATATGACTCTAAGGGAGAATTTGCATTTAACTGTGTAAGGGAAGCAGGGTATAACAACGGTTTGTCTCTTTCTTTCCTGTAAGTCTAGGAAGTTTACACAGTTTGGGGGGCTATTCACAGAAAGGCATACTACTACTCTAAATGACACATTATTTTTAATACTTCAAGATGTATACGTAGTATCAGCCAGCCAAATCATGTTTAGCGCTTATGGTGTTAAAACAGATAGCTTCATTTATATTTCAAGGATTTTACACAAAGCATCTTGTCGCATTTTTTGGGACCAATTACAATAGCTGATTCATGCAGCAGGACAACACTGAAAGGAGAGGTGTCCCCGTCTGTTCAAGGGGGTGCCAGCTGTGGAGTGCATGCACGTACATATCATCTATCAGACATGTGTGTCGTGGTGAGGTGTTTTCACACAAGATACTCTGAGAGTGATGCTGGGGTCTTGTTGGCCTGAGTGGTTTAAGTTTGCAGGGAAAGCTTCCATTTGCAGTCAGTAGGAGTATCCGCACCGACTGCAGCCTGATTAGGGTTCGCGTTTTGCCTCTCTCCGTGCCACAGATAAAAACTGCTTCAGAGAGGGAATTCGCTATTTATACGAGTGATGTTTTCTAAGTCACCAAGGCTATCAAGCATCGGTTTGTTCTTTCACATTAGAAACAACTCAGCTGCCCGGTGGAACAAAGGGTTAGTGTGCCTACAGATAGCTTTGAACATCACATACCCTTATAGCTTAGCAACACTTGGGTGCGGGGAGGGGGAGACATCGGCAGAGCACACTCAAATCAAACGGTTGTCTTCTCTCCATGAACCTGGGCTTTGAGGCTCGCCCCCGGTTGCCTCTTAGAAAAAGGTTTCCCCTTTAAACATTTGCAGTTTGGAGCAGGAAAAGGAAAGCTGTCTGCACAATCTCTGTGTGCCTTTCCTTGGGGAGCAGGCGGGAGCCGCAGCATGCATTCCCCAGCACGAGCGGGAGCGAGCGCTTACCTTGGACTGGACCTGGAGAGGAGGTCCCATCTTTTTCAAGATGTATTTTTCACTTTACAGGTAGATGACTCCAGCTTTGCCTGATCAGCAGTGAAAAGTCAGATTCTTCTTCTGTAAATGCTTCTGCTTTATTTCTACAGCTTTTATTTCTATTGTTCTCACTGTCTCTAAGGCTGTTTATCGATACTGTAATATGTTATTATTGGTAACTAAATCTAGTAGAAATAAATGCACTCCTTACTTGCTCTTCTCCTTGAGAGGGTATCCCTAGCACTGATACGCTAAATTTTTTCTGCTGCTGTCTGTGATCTAATAAGCAGATATTATTCATTAGATTTGATTTATCAGGAATTAGTCATGGCTATGATTTTAACCCTTTGATGCCACTGATATGTTTAGCATAAGTTCAGTCAGAAATTTTAACCAGTTCCTCATTTTTAAACATTTGGACTTTATTCAAAATTAAGTCCTTTCACAATTGTTAAGTGAATAATTGAGAAAATGAAAGAGCCAATTCGTTTCAAGTACTTTTTTTTTTTTTTTTTTTTGGTCATTACAGGAAGCTTCCATTCAAATTGAGTTTTTTGTCAAATGATGGAAAATTCAGTTAATGTGCTTAGATTGTGCATGGCTGCAGGGTTGAACCATCTTAGTGGATGTTAAACTCTAAGTGAATGATTTCTGTGGTGCTTTCATCTGAGATGGTGACCTTGAAACACTTTGAAGCTGAACTAGGGATGCCCTGGAATGCCCTACTACAAGTAAGCAGGGGTTTCCAAGGAGAGCTGGGATTTGTAGAGCATAGAAAATTGTTCATGGCCAGCTAAACTGTCTACATTTTAAGACGCAGCGGTTACAGAACAGTATCTCCTCACTTCATTTTTCATGTTCATCATCTTCTGAATGTTCTAACACTTGCAGTTGAAATTTTCCACTTTTGTGAACGAGGAAGTATTCTTTGAAAGATCATGCAAAATCATTTTGGTGGTTTGTATGATAAAATATTCAAAATCAATTTTATGTGGAAAATATACTCCGCAGAGATCATGAATATTTACATTTAAACCTTTGAGACTTGAAAAAATGTAGAGCTGCTGTAAAATTTTCATCACCGCAAACCCATGTAACTTTACTTCACTGTACTTGACAGTCATCTCTAACACAAAATTGAAGGCTGGCACGTCCTTGCAAAAGTTTTCCACTTTCTGTGCCATACTACAAGACAACGTTTCCAAGAGCCCTCGTTCTTCATAAGCACTTGGTGATACATACATCGTTGCAGTGCATGTAGTTTTAATGAGGTAGGAAATACTTCAGTGGTTTTGTATAGCTCAGTGTTTTCTGAAGGTGTAGGTAGAACTGGATTTCCTTTTCCTGTCATGTTGTCTACCCTCTGGAAGATCATCTAAAAGTTTGTTTTGGTATGTATGGAAGTAGTTCTTGCAGTGCAGTCTAGAGACTTTGACTGGTCTTGTGCTCTGGGAGTCTTTGTGTTGTGCACAAGGGCACATGTGATTCACAGATTCACAGAGTGGGAGGGGTTGGAAGGGACCTCTAGAGATCATCTAGTCCAACCCCCTGCCACAGCAGAATCCCCTAGAGTAGATCTCACAGGAAGAAGTCCAGGTGGCTTTGGAAAGTCTCCAGGGAAGGAGACCCCACCACCTCTCTGGGCAGCCTGTTCAGTGCTCTGTCACCTTTTCAGGTTGAACCTTCTGTTTTCCAGTTTATGGCCATTGCCCCCAGTCCTGTCACTGGGCACCACTGAGAGGAGCCTGGCCCCACCTTCCTGACACCCACCCTTTAGATACTGATAAGCATTGATAAGATCCCCCCTTCAGCCTCCTCTTCTCCAAGCTAAACAGACCCAGCTCTCTCAGCCTTTCCTCATGCGGAAGGTGCTCCAGGCCCTTGATCATCTCAGTGGCCCTGTGCTGGACCCTCTCCAGTGGTTCCTTGTCCTTCTTGACCTGAGGAGCCCAGAACTGGACACAGCACTCCAGGTGAGGCCTCACCAGCACAGAGCAGAGGGGGAGGGTAACTTCCCTTGACCTGCTGGCCACACTCTTATTAACGCATCCCAAGATGCCGTTGGCCTTCTTGGCTGTGAGGGCACACTGTTGGCTCATGGTCATCCTGTTGGCCACTGGGACTCCAAGGTCCTTTTCCCCAGAGCTGCTCTCTGACAGATCAGCCCCCAACCTGGAGCGATCCATGGGGTGGTTCTTCCCCAGGTGCAGTACCTTACACCTGCCCATATTGAATTGCATTAGATTTCTCCCTGCCCAGCTCCCCAGCCTGTCCAGGTCACGCTGGATGGCAGCACAGCCTGCTGGCGTGGCAGCCACTCCTCCTGAGGTGTGCCCAGTGTGTCCTGATTCTTCTTCCTTCCCACTTTGATTGAGACAGGGGAACTTACTGCCGTGTGCTCTCCCATGCCGTGAGTGAACTGCCCTGTTTCTGCCCTGTCCAGCTGAAGTATCCTGCTTGCCCATGCTGGGAGCTAGCAATCCTGAAGTGGCTGCTGTTTCACAACTTGTTCGTGTCACCTGTCTGCTGGGATTAGGCCATTCCGGGGAGGAATAGCACTGGAATCCAGCAATTGCAAGGATATTGTTTTGGTTCCAAATTAAGTAAGAGAATATACTAAACACTCTCTCTCGCACGTACTTAAGAGAGTGGCTGTAGTAGTAGTAGTATCATTTCCAAGTAATTCACCATTTGGTCTGTACCAGGAGGTTAGTCCACAGAGCTTTTCAGTTTCTTCTCGCTCAGACAAGCCGTCCTGGAAACAGTGAAAATGCAGTGCTGGTGTCTATCAGCTACACAGGAAAACAAATCCAAGGAGGAGGGGCCTAGGCATCTTCCCCTCAGTCTGTCCGATGTGTTTCCTTTAGGAAAATAACCTCACTCCTCCTCAACTTCCATCCTCCTCCTGAACCTCCTGGTTTGGAAACTTGAGCACGCCATGGAGCTGAAGATTCAGGGCTGGAGCACACCACAGGAAAGTTGGTGCTTGACCAATAGTTCAGCTTACTCATGTGTCCAGACAGCGTCAGCTTCGCTGAGAGTCTGCTGCCGGTGAAAATGACCTGGGTTATGGAAAACAGCTACTTTTATTTGTTACCATACAAAAGGATATGAGCAGAAAACTCAGCTATAAGAGGTAGAGAATTTTTGAAGTGTATTAAGAGGCCATACTAATAAAATCTGTTTGGGTTATCGAGGCAATTTGCTAGTCATTTAATGTCATAACACAGAAAATTGGCCAGGTTGTTGGACAATTAAACTATTCCATAGCTACTATCTCACAATGTTGGTAGCATAGACATTCGTGTTCCCATAATAACTGCAGGACATTGATTAACAGCTATTGAAAACAAGCTCTACATGCTAATTAAAATTGAAGATTTTCAAATCAGCATGTCTGAACAATTTTGCATTCAAGAGTTTTCAAAGACGTGTCTAAGAAACTCTGTCAACAGTTGCTGTCGATATTTTAATAGTTTTTGAGCACTGCAGTTCTACAGGACTGAAAAAGCAAATGCTGTGACAGTATTGGAAAGGTGAATTGGATGGCCCAGGTATGCAAAAACTGAAAGGGACTGTACAAAAAACAATAAAACATCTGACTTGGAAGTCAATCGGTTAAAAATTAGGGGAGAATAATATAATACTAATCAGTGTGGGTGGAGGGAAAATGGGTTATGCCAAAATTTTTTCCCTTTTTTTTTTAATTATGATTTTTTCAACAAAGGAAGTAACTTTTTTTTCTGTTAAATCTTTGAGTATGCCCCTTTTGTCATTTAGAATTAGAATATATACTGTATCGGTTTCCCTTTCATTTAACTATACAAAAATTATCTGCAGGTTTCAAACAGGAAAATGTTAAGCAGAGAATTATCACTATAATGTTGCTGTGATTTGGTTCTTGGTCCTATTTTTAGTCAGTGATCAAGAAGGAGATAGTT